GTTATTGTTATTCTCGAGATGCATTTAGTGCGAGTGACGGCTCTTCAAGGTGATTTATTTTTCGGAACGACATCCGTACAAAATTGATGGCAATAATTAACAGAATAAGTCAAAAGGAAGGACGAAATAACATGCAAGAATCAACTAGTTAAGAACAGGCAAACGAAGATCGAACATTCCCACTGGGAACAAATGTATAATTTCTTACAAAACCCTTTAGCTTAACAAATATATATCTCAAGATATACACAACGCGCATTTCATGTTATCATCGTGTTCTATATATATCCATATGGGTATATAGGACATGTTTTCTAATCTAACCGAGATTTTTTTTTCTTGTATAAATGTTGTCAATGCAGATATAGTTAATAATCATATGTTTTCCGAATGTGTCGTTAAGTCGATTAATGTTGAGAAAAGAACTCATTGTCTGTCTGCACGTTGTCAATGATTAAATCAGGATGGTTATGTTTGAATAAACGACCTAAGAGTCCAGAGGTCAGAAAATTAGGAACAAAGTTTTCTTGAAGTTGGATTAATCCTCAATTGGATACAATTTTCTGCAGAAAAGAACGCATAGACATTTGTATTGAGAAGAATTACATTTCAATATTAATTCATATGAAATCAAGTGCTGAATGCAGTTTTTTTTTCATGTGTAAATCCATTATTTCGCCATTTGTACGATCAGTGCATTAGTATTTGACCTTCGACGAAATTTCCTATGTTGATATACCTAGTTTATGATATAATCGAATAAATAAAAGTATCGCGTTTCTTAACATTTTCAAATCTAAGAGATAAGAAGAAAATCTGTCAAAAATGACTCTTTTCATTACATTTTCGTTAAACGAACTGAACATTTACCATGTGTTATCATGTTCTCATGATATATACTTCATTTGAATTATTGATCTCATCCATCCATGACAGAACAGTCTATATTAATAGAATATTTACTGTTTTAAGAATGTATGGTGTCACATGAGGAATGTTCGTAGGAAAAAGAATTTATTAAATATTCAACAACGAGTTTTACTTTGAAAAAAAAAGATATGTAAAATAATATGTCATTCTGCTATTTTATGAATGAAGTGAAAAGAATGTTAACAATATCTATCAGTTTGTTTATATCAGGTAGATCGTGGCATCTTATCAAGTATTAACAGTTTTCTCTGTGAAGACAATTGAATGGTGTTGTCATGTCGAACATGTTGTTCTCAATTTCAATTATTAATCATTGATCTATATGTTGGATATTTGAGTAGATAAAGATCGAATGTGTTACTATAGGAAAAGGTTCTGATAGGTTCGAGATTGATTGTAAATGTTTAGGTTTTCATACGGGAACTTACTCGTTCGATAGTACGATTAGAAAGAGGTAAGAAGTAATCGAGTTTCTATTGTTGAAATTGAAGAACAACGATAAAATCAAGGATTATTAATAGTTGTGATGAAAGGAATCGTGAAAGTCTTTTCTAGAGAATAGATTTTTCTCATAAGATTCTAAAGAAAACTTATTGATTAATTTTATTCCAAGAAGTGCAAAATTCGATCTGCAAAGAGCAAGAAATTGAATTAAATGGTATGCTATCTATTGCTTGAGAAGTTCTCTCTTCATTTGTAAAAATCACTGCAAGACAAATAATATCACGACTTGCACAGATTGTTCTCTCGTGTTTTTCTAAACATTTTTTTTATCGGTAACACAGAAGTGCGTCGTAGCACTATGATAAAAATCATGATAAGATTATGAGTGACATTCAGAAGAGGAACTCCTACTGACACAAGGCATGATTTTTATAAGAGGTCATTTGTATTAGGCAATAGTATTTCAATAAAGCCTTTCAGTTGTTTTCAATTATACTACAGAGACAAGTTCTTTTTGAAAGACATATCCGACGTGAGAAAAGATATGGAAATCATATTTGGTAATCTATTCATCAATTTTGAAAACAAAATATCTCTCATATACGCAAACAGATTTATATTTCATTGAATTTGATATGGCTTTATCAAGAAAAATACATTGTTGGTCATTGAAGGTTGAAAGTCAAAATCAATCTCTTGAATACGCTATCCAATTAAAAAATATTGTGTTGTTGAAATTTAAAGAATATGAACAGAGTCACAAAACATGACAGTAAAAAAAAAGGTAACTTAAGAAGATATTTTCAACATCGAAAATATGAACAATTTTGACATTCATCGAGTATTTCTTTGGACACTAAATAGTGTTAGCTGCTTTTATATGAACATGGAACCCTGTTACGACTATGATTGTTGTTGTTGTCGTTTGATTTTTTCTTGATTGATTAAGTAGTGCTGAACATGGTTGGGTAAGCCTGGATTGAGATTAAGTACGAATGGTAACACAGCTTTAGGAGTTTCATGAATGTCAATCATGATTTTGAGAAACATAGTATCGTCTCGAACATACGGATTGTCATCTTGTTGAATCATTGGTAATGGAAAGAATTTTGGAATTCCACTTGCAATATTAGTATCATTGACTGGTCTTTGAAATGAACTCGACTTGACATCAGGTCGAAAAGAATCGATAATATGTCGTCCGGCACCTGTTTGATCAAATAAACAGAATGTTACTTTGTGTGAAAATGGCCAAGTTAACAATGGATCGTATTCTCCTTTCACTAGAAGAAAGAATACAGACATATGAGTGCGTCGTGCATTTCCATCACCGTGTAAATATAGACGAGCACGCATTTTATAACCATGAGCTGAAGAGTAGAACATGGGAGAGTAGATACTTGGTTGTCTTTCTGACTGTGCATCAGCCATTTTTTCAGCTACACGCTCGATTCGCCACGTCAATGTTCCGTCTATCGATGTCTGTTGATTTTCTTCAAGATGTTGTCTGATTTGTTCGATGTCTTTTTGAATGGCATCTTGCTTCGGCTGCAGATTGGACATGATAATATTTCTTTCTGTACATGCCGCTTGCAAAAAAGTCACTTCTTGGCTGGCAACTTGATAAAGTTCATTTACTTTAACAAAATCTTGACTTAATTTGATGGTATCGTCATTGAGTTGTTGGACTTTATCAGCTAATTCAGATAGTTTCTCCGATGTTTCTTTCTCTTGTTCGTTATAAGCAGATGTTGTGTCCATATCTTGTTCTTGATCATGTGTTTCTGGAGCATTGTACTTTCCAATAAGGGCTAAAGCAAGCGCTTCTTGATGTTTTTCAGAAAGTAAATGTGCATCGAATTCGTCATTTCGGATCTATATTCATGAAAATGGAAAAGAATTCATACAGGTTTTTATGTGCCTACCATTTCATTGCTGCAGTATGGAGCTAAAGGACATCTTTGAAATAGACTTGGACATGATTTTTCACGATGTTCTTTTAACGCGAGAACAGTAGAAAACGACTCTTGACATTCATCACAAGTAAAATGAATATGATTTGCATCCAGATGTTCCTACACAGATACAGAACAACATTCCTGACGAAAATTCTTTCTATACGAACCTGATACGTATACAACGGTCCACTCCACAAGCAACTGGGATGATCACCTTTGTGTACACACGTCACTTCCAATTTATCAAGTTCTCGTTTAAACGCGCGATCATTCATAGTCTTTTAAGTAAAAATAAACATTGGGAGATTATTATTTAAATCATACAAAAGACTTACTTGAGTTTTATCAAACTCAACATTACAATCTTGTCCAGGACAAATGATTTTACCATTGGGTGATGCTGCTAGACGAGATTCATAACAACCTCGACAACTTCTATCACCACATTCTACGAATTGAACGGGCTCTTTGATAATACTCGAGCAAAAAACACACTTCCATTTGCCTAGTACTTTTTCCATTTCGTATACTGAATATCCGTATGACACAAATTCAGATGACGAAGGTGTTTTCGTTTGATCATCTGCTTTTAAAGGTTTGCTCGTAGTCATTTTGCTCAGAAAAACAACAGTCTATACCCAATAAGTTTTCAAATCTACAATAAATACTAAGAAAGTTTTCTTCCACCAGTTATTCATCGAGATGAGTAACAAAAAGTCATAGTTCGATCGTCATAAAAGAGTAAAAGAATAACGATTTCGAGCATGATTAATTATTTCCCAACATGACGCGATTGAATAGAAAGAAAAACAAAACTAAAAAGAAATAACCAAACCTGTAAAGGGAATTTTCTGAATGAAACCACAGCTTTCATATAACATCTGAGATATTTCAGTAACATACCTTCAGTTGGAAAATTACATTTAACAATAGCACTTAATGACTCAAATAAAAAACATTCGAGAGGAAAACTAGCACTCTGACCCAATGTTATGCATTGCATAAATCGACCTGACGTCACTCATTTTTAAAGGCTTTCAAATGAAATGACAGGGTTACGCAAAAAATACAAAGCTATTCTCAATAAAACTGCTACTTCACAGGTTCTTATACTTAGCATTGTGTATACGACGCCGAATATTCTTGAATACAATATAAATCAGTTTGAAATTGAAGGCTTTTTGTAGTTGGTTTTTTCCGTGCTTCATGAGTCATCTCATCATGTACCAACTGATTTCGCCTGCCATCTATAATAAAAAAATTTTTTTTAAAAATTGTATTTATTAAAATATCCGATCTATTATACTGATTGATGTGTTCATTTACATGTAATCAATCAATGATATATAGAAAACAGTGCTTTGTCAAATGCATGGATAATCTCTGGGTGATTAATAAGGTTGTATCATAAAACACCCTATACAGATCAATAAGAATAGTCGTATACAAATCTTGGAAAGTAGGATTTTATGCACGTTCATACGAATTTCTCGTGTTTTTCGTAAATAATATTCATTAAGTCTCTAGAGAGAACTTATGGGTAGAATGGTTTGTGCATAAATCCGAGAATATCTCACATTTAATCGATTTACTTCAGAAAGAACTATAATTTTATTTTAGATAGACCAAATATATAACATAGAAGAGTTAATATAGTAAATCTAATTAAGTAGTTACACTACATGCCGAGGTACAATGATTAAGTAGATAAAATAAACAAACAATTCTAGTATAATAACAAAACGATAATATTCGATTAGCTAGTCTTGATGATGGATATGTTATGTTTGTTGATATTATTGATTACATTAGTCCAACTAATAGATTCGAATTTCCTTATAAACGAGCAATCGTCAAAGACAGAATTGCAAAATAAATATCTGTGAAATACTCTGTTCAGTACAGATGACGATATCCTTGGTGCATGTACTCAAAATATTTTTTCATAAGAACCACTCATCTCCGATTTCTTCTCTTTTATCAATCATGTATAAATAGATGTAAATTATCTTCATCAGATGCTGATCAGTATGTAATAGAATACTTAAGAACATCAAAGATGCTTTTATTGTCACTATTTTGATCATAAGAAGAACGCAGTTAATACATTGCGTCGATTTCTTCCTTGTGCGAGACATGGCAATTAACGGTTGGAAGTAATACAAACATTTCAGAGAGTCGACATCTTCTATGGACAGAAACAACTAGGTTAGAACTATTATTAAAGCGTTTTCGTCAATCAATTTGTTATTGAGAGTACAGAATGAGTAAGTAGACATAAAACAGTTCAATTTGTTGTACATATTTTGTCAATATATTTAAGATGATCTTATATAAATATTATGATAAGTAAATGTCCTATCAAATGTCAAAGAGGAAGTTTTGAATAATAATTTCTTTTCTTTTTATTTGTTTCGAATACAAAATCATAGAATGATATCTTAAATATCACATGAAAGCCGGCAAATCCAAATGACACACACACATACGAATCGTGTCAATATTGTTTTGCACAATATGGAATCAATTGTTAATCAAATAGCTTTTTCACGAATGATATTCTGACGAACATCAAAACTATGAGCATCAGTATGAAGTGTAAGAGTTTCTCCATTGGACGATTTGCGAACTCGCAAAAATCCATATTCGTCGATACCAATAATCGTTACTTTTTCTTGCCATTTGTCTACGAAGACCTCTTGGTTCCTATTTACGATAAGAGCAGAGCTATTTGTAGATACAATAGTCTGATTTCTTCGATCTTACTGATGCATCCAATGGGATTCATAGAATCGATAAAAATTATGTATGGCAATCGTTGCTTGTCGGATATTTGATTGGGATAATTGGGAAACCCATTGTTGCAAATAAGCAACTGTTCGACCGATAAATTCTTCAGTTGTAAAATGAGGCAAGTTCAACATTGGTTTCTGTTGATCAATCGAATCATTGATACATGTTGATGGTTGAGTGTTGAAAACATTCACACCGATGCCTAAGTACAAACAGAGGTCAATTTAAAACAATCTTTCAATTCAATGTAATCATGATATTTACCAAGATTAATCGAGGCAAAATTACCACAAATTGATGATGTTGCTAGAATACCACCTAATTTCGTAAAATCATTTCCTATGAAAATATCATTTGGCCATTTAATTCGAACATTTAGCGCCTAGAAAAAAAACGATTCGTCTGCTATTTTTCGAGGTAATTCAATAAAATTTTACGATTATCATACATTATATTCAGGTGTTCTTTCGATTGCTTGTAAAACAGCAACACTTGCTAGAAGTTGTAATAAAGATAAACGTTGTCCCAACAGACTTTGTAAATGAACATCAAAACAAATGGTAAACAAAGCACAACCTAATGGAGATGTCCATTTATTAGTTCCACGTCCTACACATTGCAAAAGCAAAATAAACGTCTGTCATATGTACTGGATGTTTTCTTTTCATTGTCGACTACCTTGTCCTTCAGATTGTTCTCGAGCGATAATAACGAGTCCGTTCGATGGCAGTTGAGAACTAAATATAATACACATAATCTTCGGATGTCTATGATGTCGAATCGAAAGAAAGACACACGTAAGCATAGTGCGCGAGATGTTATTTTGGTGAATATATATATATTTTCGTGTTTTCTTTTCTGGCAAGATACTTTGAAATGAAAAAAGGGGAGTAAAAAGAAGAAAATGAAACTCAAACAACACTGAAAATAAAACGAGAATGAAGAAAAAAACTGAGGATGCAAGCCATATACAGATAAACGCACTGTTCTACGTGTTATTGTATGATTTCTGATCTATCTATATACGAAAAGAAGAAGAAAACATGACCACATGAAGTGGAAAGCTACAAACTACACTTAGTTCACAAAAAAAAGAACATTGTTTTTATGCGAAACATTATCTTGCTTTGAACTTTTTCATGCATTGGTTGGTGATAGAAGTGATGCTTCTTTTGTTGATGGTGGTGCTGGAATATTCCAGAAACGTTCGGCGTCTTCGATTGATTTATTTTTGGTTTCGGGCATTTTAAACCAGAGAAAGATAACGTTAAGGAGAACAAAGACAAGAAAGATTAAAAAGACATAACCACCTAAAATTGAATTGAGTGCAGGAAAGAATAACGAGAGAAGAATATTTCCCAAGTAATTTGCGACTAAGCCTAATGATTGAACACTGTCTCGAGCTTCTGGTCGGCAAACTTCACTTCCGAATAAGAATGGAATTGGACCAAGACCAACAGCAAAGCATACAATGAATATCAAGATGAATATAACGGATATTAAACCGAGTGTTGAACTGTTTCGACTTTCATTAAGTTGGACAAGAACTGTAAGAACTCCAAATACAGCGACCATAACAGCCATTGGATAGATAACTAATGCTCGACGACCAAGTTTTTCAATCAACAATACCGAAAAAATTGTAGCAATTACATTGATGGCTCCTGTGCCGATGTTGGCATAGGGAATATTGCTGTCAGAAATTCCAGCTTTTTCGAACATTTTTGATGAATAGAAAAACACTGCATTGATACCAGACAAAGCTTGAGATAATTGAAGGATGACTGTCACTAACATGGGCCAACGGTAGCGAGCTGATGCAATTACCTAGTAGAGATGGAAAAAACATATATGTAGATTTATTGAAAACTATGATAATTCTATGTGGAAAAAATGGAATAATTACTTGAGGAATTGACAATGATTCTGTTTTGTTTCCGCTGTTTTGTCTTGATTGTGCACGAAGAATATCCAAATCAGCATGTACATTGCTTGTTCCACGAAGTTTTTTCAAATCTTTAACTGCTTGCTCTTCATCATTGTATTTGGTGATCATTTGAGTAGGCGAGTTTGGTAGAAGAAATAGGAGGAATAAACCAGCCAATGGTAACAAGAAGACAATGGCAAGGCCCCAACCCCAACCAGTACATGTTCCGGCAATGGGTGGTAAGCCAACAACTTGTGCAATCAGAATACCGATTGTCAAAGCAAGTTGAAAAGCAGCGCCGGCTGCACCACGAACACGCTGTGAAGAAATTTCACCAATGAATGGTGGTACAATGACACATGCCATGCCACCTTAGAAAAGAAAAACGACTAATTAGTTTTCTTTTCACCAGAAATCAAGAACATGCCACTTACCTTGATAACCAAGTAGAAGTCGACTCAAATAGAAAAGCCATGCTTTGCCCAAATAAGCAGATAATAAGACGCATAGTGACGATGCAAAACAAAATATGTAATTAGCAAAAACGGTACGTTTACGATCGAAATGCGCTGGCCAGATTGGTCCTGTGACTGCTCCAATAAATGCACCAATAAGAAATACGGTCTGTGGGATGCCTTTGACTAATTCAAGAACGAAACTGAATGGTTCCTTGACTGGGTCGGATAAAGGGCGTGCTTCTTCATTGACATTATCATTTCCATCTCTACGGAGTTCATTATTTCCTGCATCATATCTTTGTTCTACATTTTGGTTGTCCAATGCAAACGGGGCTGGTGTTCGCGCTACTGTTGTGGCAGCACATGGATCTTCTCCTTTCAAGAATGGTTCGGTGTATTTGTTATACATATTAGGAGCTCCTAGACCCCAGCCGAATACAAAAGCAGTTGTCACAGTAAGAACAACAACTGAGATGAGTAGCCATGATGTACAACCACGTTGTGTAGAATCTTCAGTGCCATCACCTGGCTGCAAGCGCTGAGTTGCCTCGGTAGACATCTTACGTGTTCTGGCAATTTAAATAATCAAACTAAAAAAAGGAAAATAATCAAAAAATAGCTTTAACAACAACAAACAACAGCAAAAAACGAGATTTTTGAAGGATGTTTCAATTCTCTTGCTTTTTTAAGGCGCGAAATTCTCAACTAGGAATTTTTTTCTTCTATTTTAAAACTGTCGCACTGTAAGAAAAATCAATGAATTATAATGTCATAGAAAAGAAAGTGCGAAACCTGTCCTGTACCAGATGTCTTTGTTAATGATCTACAGAAGAATAGTACTAAGAAGAATGAAAAGAAAATTCGTCTCGATATAATCACAATTTTCTTGTGCTTCTCTTTTTTTTTCGATTTAACCTTGTATTTTAGCTGTCACTAGCATGATCCGAGAATATATTGGTCGTATTACTATTGTTTCCCCTTGCTTGTGACGTATCCGAGTGATTTATCTTTCTGATCTGTCACAAGGTGCGATTTTGCCATCATTATTCATAGTTATCAACATAAAGTCGTGTCGATAGAAAAGAAAAACGCGTTACTTTGTATATACGGATTTATAGACGATCGACTAAAGACTAAAAATGGCTTATCTAGTACGAGTAAGATTACCCGATGTACAGATATATAGGAGCCAACAAAAGGATCTAGTGGTAGCATTTTTGTTCTTCTCATTTTCTTCTATATGTCCAGATAATGCGGAAGAAAGAAAGAAAAAAGTATACATATCTATATATAAATGTGTATGTGCGCATACGTGTGGGCATGCATGTGGTTAGGCGAAGCACGCAAATGTGGCTCGTCGTGAAGCAAGTTTTTTCCTTGCATCATTTTATTCTCGTCTTTTCTGTTCTCCTCTCTCCTCATTTTTTTGTAAGCGCCTGTGTCCTTTCTATTAGCCCTGGCAAACAACGAGAATTCGACGACTCTGAGCCAAAAGAGAACAAGAAGAAAAAAAAGAAGTATATAGACGTTGAATTACGTAAGCGAAGAAAAAATCCATCTCTGTAGAGTAGCTATTCTTCCCATCTATTTTTTCCTCCGCATAAGATGAAGATCCCACTCTGAGGTCTCATTCCAAGAAAACATGGCGAACTCGTAATGATTATACTAGCGTTAATAGAAATAATAGCCATGAGTTCTCTTTTGTTCTTCAATTGGACTTGGGAGAGAGAGAACGTTATGAAAGTCGAGCGGAGCAAGGTCATATAATTGGAGCATGGAATGGAGAAGAAACGTACATAATAATAATCGAAGAACAAAATGTGAAACGACTGGTTGCGCATTAATAGCATTGAGAAATGCAAGAAGCAAGACGGCGAATGAGAAAGAAAAAAAGAGAATAAAAAGTCCATTTTCCTCAATTATATGATTAAGAAATCCAAAGAAGAATAATTTCTTGTGCTTACTTAGACAAAATCGTTGAAAAAAAGAGAAAAAAGCCCTAAAAATTGTATTGAATTTGTGCTTGTAAAGTTAATCTCGTAGAATTTATATACACACCCCTTCAGAGATAATAGTCAGAATGATAGAAAAAATGTAGAATTTGAGACGGTATGGATACTGGCATTAGCTAAAGAAAAGATAAAATGCTGGTTTGGTGTGCGAGATGAATAGAACGTCTGTTAGAATATCTAAGCTACAAGAAAAGGAGAGAAAAAAGAAAATTCTCGACAAAAAACGGCATGTGATTCGGTTTATAAATAGACTAGCAAGTCAGTCTAACGTAGAATTCACAGAACGAAAAGAAACCAAACTGATGATATTCCACGCTTCATCATAATCACGCTGATGTTTTCTCGTCGCACGCACTTACTTGTGTCTGACTGCAGTTGTTGAATATAAACGTTGAATTGCTGCTGGCTAAGGCATGTCTTTATCTAAACATTTATCATATGCCAACGAAATCGACATCTTCATCACCCACATCACCACTATGACACGTTATTACAATAGAAACAAAAGGAGAAGAAGTTGGAGAGTACAGCACGCGAGAAAATAACAAGAATTAGACAAGAAAAAAAAAATGCGAGAAAGATTAAAGTATTATTCTTCGATTGCATTTTTGAAAAATTTCACGTACATACCCTTCAAGAATACTCATCGTCGTTGGGATTCTATCAGCTACTAACAGCATCTGTCCAAATGTCGTCGACGATGGTAAACTCGTTATAACCGACGAGAAGTATTGAAAATAACTTGCAAAATCGAATAAAGATGAGTGTTCATAGGAAAGAACGTCCGATTCACGAGAGAATTGACCAGATGATATTAGATTAGCAACGAACGATTGCAATTTATTCTAAAGAAGGTACTATTCATCGACATTTGACATAGACATCAAACAAATCGATTACCTTCTCAAGGCAAACAGCAGCTAATTTTGCTGTCGAACAATTCTTTGAAATTAATTGACAAATCCACATAATTCTTTCTCTCTTCAAAGAAAACAAGCAAATCATTATCAGGAAAATATGTTTCTACTATTTTTAATAGAATAAATAAATTATTTGTGTACAAGTTATTTTCAAAAGAACAATAAAGCAACAGAACGAGAGATTCTCCAAATTAGATCTAACGAGTTCGTTTTGTCCAACGTAAATGAACATCATCAACAACAAAACAAAGCTTTTCGGAAGCAGTTTCAACTGCTTTGATTGTTTCCTTAATCGATTGCATTAGATTTTGTGCGTTACCAATAAGCATTTCAGTTGCTTCGGCATCTTCATCCGAACCTAAACAAAATCAATAAGCAGATTATTTCAGCAGCAAAACTGAAACTAAAGCGATGTCATGCACGGTAAATCTGTCTTG